AGCGACGCCGCAAGTGCCCCGCCGTGGCATTCGTCAGTTTTCTTTGCCTTCACCGACTACAATAATTCGGAGAACAAAGTGCGCGAGTCATTGTTTGAATTTAGTTTGTTTCTATTTTTTTGCGAATCTTAAAATATATGACTGCGTCCCGAGGTGTGATAAAAGCAGGTACTTATAGCTTGGAGCTGGTCAGCGACGGGTACCTGACTTTGAGAAAGGCCACCATTTTATGTCAGCACCAGCTCCAAATAAAGGATTGATTGTTAAATCAATAGATCAATTGGACGAGTGAATTAATTAAATAATATTGATAGTATTAAAATACTAATTATTAATAAAGTAAGCGAGCTGGCGTAGAATCATACCCCCGACTGAAACAATATAAAAGTGTCCGATATTTTTTTTAAACCATGTAGCATTGCTCGTGTTCTTTGTTTCTTTAGTCTTCCGGTGTTATTGTTGACGTGCGATGACAAATTCCCTCGATCGTTGACGCAAGTTAGCTGGTTATCCATTTCGAGTTATACGGCACGCTAGCTTTGAATTACCAAAGACCTGTTTTGCACTCCTTGTTCTGTTGCATACTAAGCCGCTGAGAACTGTATAGCTCCTCTCTTCTAATTAGACACCAACCACGTGCCGCGAACGCACTACATAACAACTTTCCTTGTTCAGGTTATGTAATCAACTGCAGAGAAAGAAGCGCGTCGCCGTACTTTCCCTTCGGCTAAAATCAGTCATGCGTTACGAATGACGCGACGCTACGTTTTGGGGGTATCAGCCTGGCTATGTCATTTCACCCTTCACTCGTTCACGATCATACACGTGACAAAACACTGGGGGCACTCTTCTAAATTAGGTATGTACCTTGAGGTCCTCGAAGCTTCAAAGAGGCCACTTTAAAGCGCGCGGCGCGAACCGTCTTTCTCTCCTCCATTGACGTTGTACCGAAGTCGCTGACCGCGTCGCTTCAAGCTAAACCCAAAGTTCAATTACCTCCAGCGGCCCGTCACAAGAGACTCAAAGAAAGGAAACACTGCTTGATATACTGCCTAAACATGCCTCCAGTGTTTCTGCTCGAACCCCCTAATCCACTTAAGCCGATATTGCTTCGAAAAACTTCGAGGACGGGACTCGGGCGCGACGCTGGGTGACACCGTGAAGGATCGCGAATAAAAACTGAATTGAAAAAAAAAAAGGCAAAGTAACGACAGAAACTGAAAGCGGCACTTCTTCGGACGCCTGAGAAAGCAATAAAGTGAATGTGCCGATGGATGGCAACAGATGTGAAGCTATCGACCGCGTCAAGTTTTTCTTCCGCGGGCTAGCGCCTGCTCAAATCGACTTCCGCTGATAAATCGGTTCAATACGGTGCTTCAAGTGCGCAGAAAAAGAAGAAGAAATCGATACAAAAGTGAACTTAGAAAGTAAAGTTTGTCTCGTCCTCAATCAATAAATAAGCAAAAAAAGAAAGAAAAAAGCCGATTGAAGCGGCGTCGATAAATGTAACAGGTTTCACATTGCAAACAAGCTTTTTTTTTTTCTTCCTTGGAACTATTTTATTTTGTGCAGCGTGTAGAGAAGGCGCTTATTCCAACGTTACAGGATACACTGCCAGATGGCGAACTCCTATAGATGATTGCTTGCAGGAGCCAAAGGCTGTGACTGGGCTCCCTCTCATCTACGCTCGTCACCAGACGACTGAAACGCCATTAATGTTTGTCTGCTGGAGCTCTTTGCGCTGTTGTTGCGGCGACATGCCGCAGCGTACAAAGGTGGCGCCGTTTCAGTCAAGTGTTGACGAACGTCTGGGAGATATGAGGGCGAAGGGAGCCAGGGGATGGTGATTTTTTTCGCTTGGAGTTTACAAACTGAGAACGTTGAGTGACGATAAATATAACCAAATTTGATCGACAATGTTAATGTTCATATAAGTTGAGCTTACGTTTCAATTTCAATAACGTATGGTGGGTTTTGTCTTGTATGAGAACTCGCTGGATGTAAGCTTTGGGTCGGAGGGTCTGCCGGAATCCTGGTGGTTTCTAACTGGTTTTCTGCACAGCACCACTGGTGATGTGTCTTGAGCATTTGAACTTTTCAGCGTTTATATATTCTTTCCTGTCTTGAACTTTGTTCATATACTGGCTTCGGTATTGCTTCAATTAAAAGGATATTTAGTCGCCTCTCTGTAATACTAAACTACATTGTTGATTATTTTTTTTACCTCATTGTCGGGATCACACTGTTTATACATAATACCAGAAACAGTCTCCAAACAGATTCGAACGAAGTCACCACAAGATCCGTGCTTTCAATGCTGCATGGCAGCGAATTCAAAGAGAAGCTTGGCACGCGGCATTCGAGCCACGGATGTCGCGATGACTGATGTTTACAGACTGTCTATTGTATGACGCATAAGCAGTGTGACCCGGCTTTAGATAAAAATTCCTTTATCACATTACCACATTTTCCTACGAGGCTGCTAGGACCAGTACCTTTATTCGGCAAACGAGTCCACCGACCTGCAAAGCGGTTTATTGCTCCCTTCGCTGTGGCAAGAACATGCGCAGGAACAGTCATTTCGGCTTTAAACTCGACCGACTGCACAGCTATTTGACTTCACTGCAATTCGAATTACCCGGAGGCGTTGTCCCCGATCCATCATTCTAGACGGATTCTGACTCGCTGTTCTGGATACGGTGCAGCCGAGCGTGGTAAATCCACGCGGGGATGACTTGAGGCACGTCGTGCACCGCAGAGCAGGATTAGGCCTAAATCCCGCGTCATCCGCCCGGGGTGGGATTCCGAACGCCATGAGCCATGTCAGGGCGCTAGGGCGTGGATATCCGGGCGGACATGTATCTTACGTGTGTGCGTGCGTGTGTGGGGATGCGCGTGTGTGTGCGTGCGTGTGTTTGTGCGTGTACGTGTGCGTGTGTTTCTGTCCCATCGCGTTGCACTTTCCGTCTCCTGATCTAACGACCCATTAATCCTCCGAAGATAATCTCTCCCCGTTGCTCGGCGGGGGATTACGAGGGACTATTTTCCGATCTTTGTTGACTCTGCGGGGGATATATCTAGGGCTCATTGGCGCGTGCTTCGCCCTCCCCGCGTTACCGCTATTGAGATTGCGGTCGCGTATTCAAATAAATCTGGAAAAGCGGGATTATAGCTTTCTCTAGATGGTAATACGATATTTGCCGTCAAGCACCGAGTTCGAAGAGCTGCCTCATAGATGTGGCAGCTCTTCTCTTTTAATTTCGAAACCCCGACGCCTCTTTTCTATTGAGCTCCTTTTTCTATGCTGCTTTACGCCAAGAATAAAGTTAATATAAAACGCCGTCGAATGCCGCGTATTTCGTGGATTTTCGGTGTTTTAAACCGGCCTACCACAAGAATACTTGACGTATAGGCTGAGCGTGGTCTTCCACTCAACACTATGAACCCAAAATATTATTCACCATTGCTACAGGCATGTAGAGATCGCGACACTGTTAACGCGAGCGAGCGATTATCAGTTTCTTTTTATTTTTACTGTTATTATTTGAAGGTGAACTACTGCCATACAAACTCTTTTCGTTTCCGACATTTTAAGAAACATACGACGGGGCGAATCCCAAGCACTTATTATTATCGCTCCTCATGCGATGAAAAGTTTAGTGTTCGCCGAAAAGGATTCCAAAGAACCAATCGGGAAGCGAGGATCGTGTAGGTAATTAACCACGCCCTGCGCTCCTTAACGCTGTGACTATAATTTGACTGAAAGTCCCCGTTCAGGGTCAGTGACCTAAATATTAAAGTTTGATGCTGATCGATGACTCGAGTAAAATGCAGAAAAGCGCCGATGTCGAGTTTGCGACAACAGTGTCGTGCAGTGTGCGCTGGCTATTTCCTTTCCCCATTGTCTGCGTCGTTTCTACAATGTTTTCTTTTAGCGTAGTATTGCGGACTCGGAGCGACAATCATGCAAGTGCCCTCGGAACGCAATACGAAGCGCAAGTCGGTCTGCTTCCTTTGCAGGGGTTGTGGCAAACTTGTACACGTTACTGAAAAAAAAAAGAAGTAATTGATTACAATTACAATTACTTCACTGTAAAAAGTAACCGATTACAATTACAATTGCAGCCTCAAAAATTAATTGAAAAATTGCTCTAAAGTAATCTATTACTTTCCACGCTACTTTTCATTCAACTTTTTTTTTGTTACGGTAGCATAATCCTAAAAATCTCGTGCTCAGTTGTTAAAAGAAAAAAGCCTCGATTGTTTTTGTTTTTTTTAAGTGTGGCGCCAACACACCCAATCCCTCTAGTGAAAATTAAAATAAATAAAAAGAGCGCTGTTTCAATACATTACTCACAAGAGGCTGGATACGGTCATTTGACATACCCAAACGTAGTCTCCAGTGTACCCCAAAAAATTGTACCCAGGAAAGAAGCATAGTGAAGTGGCCTACTATTCCTTGAGATCCCGTGCTTAGTGGTTTCGAAAAAGAAAATAATTGACCGTTGCACATCTAACCCCCCCCCCCCCCCCCCCAAAAAAAAAAAAAACAACAAAGAAACAAAGAAACATGAAAAATGGTAATGGGTAATTTTGTAATCTGTTATAGCAAAAAAGTAATTAAATTGCAAGGATCGTAACTCTTTTAAGGAAGTAATTGAAGTGTTACAAAATTACAGTAAAATGTAATTGATTACAAGTAATTCATTACTTGTAACGCGTTACGCACAAGTCTGGTTGTGGTGACGTCAGAACGCCGAGCCCAGATTGAATGACAGACAGTGGGTAGACCTCAAACCAAGCTACCTTGAGGTATACTCACTCTCCTTCAATCAGAGCCAATCAGAGCTTGGCGTTCTGACGTCACCACAACCCCTGCAAAAAGAAGCAGACGAACTTTCGCTCCGCATTGCTTCACGAGGCGTATACAGACTATGATACAAGCTTTCACCAATAAATCACGCCACCTTATCTTGTCTTTGTTGTCCTCGCCCAGGTGTCCGCAGTCAGCAGAAGACCTTGAGGAAGCCATCCGGCTGAGCTAACCTCTGCAACGTCTAGAGGACCTAAAAGCCAGCCATGACGCTGATCACGGGCGACAGGCAGCGTCTTCCCCGTGACGAGAGCGCTTCTAGCCTGGGCGTTGGCATGACCATCTCCCAGAGTCACGAGCCACTCGTGTTTCCATCCAAACCGTCACTGCTTCCGGACCTGCCAGAGACCGCGGGGGAACCCCGGGACCTCCTAGACGATGCCGGCGGAACGTGTGGCTGGGCTTGTCTACGGCCACGGTGTCTCCAGAGATTCCGGACTCCACCGTGGGTACTGTTCTTCTTGTGCTGGGCCGGCTTCCTGCAGGGCCTCATCGTCAACGGCTTCGTCAACGTCGTCATCACGACCATCGAACGGAGGTTCCAGCTGCGTAGCTCTGAGAGCGGACTTGTGGCCAGCGGCTACGACATCGCGTCTTTCCTGCTTCTGGCGCCCATCAGCTACTTTGGCGGTACCAGGAGCAAGCCGCTCTTCGTCGGTGTTGGGTGTCTAGTGCTGGGACTCGGCGCGTTTGTGTTCGCCATGCCTCATTTTCTGGTGGGGCCGTACTCGTACAGTAGCCCTGACGACTTCGAGGCGTTGTGTACGGTTCCGACGGACGGTGTTCAGTTGGTGCCCTCAAACCAGACGGAGTCCCTGAACCAGTTCAAGTATATGTTTCTCGCGGGACAGATGCTCCACGGTGCTGGGGCCACGCCATTTTTCACTTTGGGCTGCACTTACCTCGATGAGATTGTGTCGACCAAGATGTCGTCTGTTTATATCGGTGAGTTTCTCCAGCTGAAACAACTCATTGGTGCCATGCGTACACCTCGTGGTGTGAAACTTCAAGACCTCCCATAACGTATGAACTCAAAACAAGAAATTAAACATGAACTTGTCGTCACATTAATGCAATAACGTAACTATGGCGAGTACTGATTTTTTTTACTTTTACACTGAGTGGTTATAAATCTAATCGCTCGGGGTGGAGGGGAGGGGGCGGGCGTTAAACCTAATACTTCTTGGCTAGAGCTTGCTTTCACCTGAACCCATATCTTACACCAAGTCCTGCACACAAGTCCTCGATTTATGTTCCTTGCTTAAAACCTTTAAAGGGATGCTGAACCGAAATCAGGATTCCACAAAGCACGGCGGCAAAAGCATGCAACGAGATGCTACAAACATCAAAGCATCGCTCATTCAACGATATATGAAACAAATCACCGTATTTAAAAAAAAAAAAAGGAGGCGCATTTGACAGATATGTTCACGCCTTGTTTTTCTGAGAAGAAGAGGGAACGGCCTCGCGTCTTCTTTACCTCGCCGCCTTGAGGGGGCGAAAGGAAGAGAGGAGGCAACAAGATATCTTGACGTCACGCTCCTCGTCAACCTCGTTCAATCTCGACTTTTTTTTTTTTTTTTTTCAGAAATGCGGTTGTCGATTTGAGAGGTTGCCTTACGAGTAGTGTTGTAGGGATTCTAAAGTCACGCCTTCAGCTCCTGCATTGTTTTCTAAAATCCAAATTTCGGTTCACCTTCCCTTTAAACTGAACTATTTTATACAGAATAGACATAGGCACACTGAATTGGATCTTAGCCAAATACTAATGACTGATTAATAAAAAATTAAGGGGGTAATTTAAGGCTCAAGACATGAACCAGCAAGCATCTGAAACTATAACGTTAAAATTATATTAATGCGGCCGAAAACCATAAAAAAAAAACTTACATTTTGGTTGCGCACTAATAATAATTTACGTTCCATGGCTCAACAAGCTGCATATATAAGACTCAATAATTTTATAAATACCACCTAGTTTAATAAATATCAATTTTGCTTGCACGTTTTATTATACAAATTTATGACTTGATGACTACACCCTTTCGCAGTGGGCTAGTAGTGATAAAACCTTGTTTAATTTTTATAGTTTATTTAGCTGGACGATCGCTTGTGCACAACATTTCCACATTGTGACCTAGCTCTGTGTGCCAGTTTCTGCCGTTTTGCTCGAATATATTGCTCTCTTGACTGCCCCACCCACCGAGGAACGCATCTCTGCAAATTACGAGTGCAGGGGTTGACAGCTGTAACACACTGTTGACAATTTAGTTATAGCTTTGGTTGGGCAACCCTGACCCTAATAATGTCATCGCAGTTGCCAGCAGCCGAAATTTCCTCGTGTGCAGCATTAAGTTTGGTGGTGCAGTTTAGTTCTAGATGGCAACTTGTGCTAGCAAATTGAAATAGCGCGCTGAACTCGTCTTCAGATAAACTCTGTGACATAGTGTGCAGACGCACCGCCATCCTCTTCCAACTTACTCTGTCTCCTTTGTTCTTGCACACTCCAGGAATCTTCTACACCATGGCCATCATCGGACCTGCCCTAGGCTACATTCTGGGAGGCCAGTTTCTTAAGATCTACTCCGACATCTCGGTCGACGCCTCGGCGTAAGGGTTGTTTCTCCAGTTTCTAGAGTCACAGACAACGCAAGAGATGCAGGGTGTGACGAGCGAATGAATGAGTGATGTTCACGCCTCCTGATTCGTGATTCGTTCTTCGGCGTCTTCTTCGGCTAATGCCGGAATCTCATTGGCTAGGGAGAGATAATGAGATGCTTAAAACTCGCCACGCCCTACATGTCTTATTATGTCGGCGACTATAATATCATTTCACCTCGTAGGGTTACCATTTTACGAAACTCTGAACATTATTTGCAGGCTAGGTTTGACGCCGTCTAGCGGCGTATGGGTCGGAGCTTGGTGGATAGGCTTCGTTGTCTCGTCTGTGACCGCCGTCTTGGCTGCCATTCCTATCAGTGCCTTCCCCAAGGTCCTTCCAGGTAAGGCAAGCGCGAACTAACTTCTAAACTAAAGCGAATATTTACGTATGAGCACAACTTTCACAACGTTAGTTGAAGGTGCTTGTCGACTGTTATCTTATTACTATCTCTAGCAAGACTAAATCAGTTAATAGATGGTAGTAACTGCTTTAACGTTCAAGAGAAAAACGATTGAAGGTTGCAGAAAAATTTGGGCAACAAAGCTTCCAGAAGGGCGAGTACGTTATCCATACGTACTCCGTGTAGACGACGCCCTTTCTTTAGACAGGTAATGCGGCGTACCGTTGGTTACTTTTCGGAAAGAGTAAGGCAGCGCGTACTTAGAAAAACACAAAACTAATCTTCAAAGCCAAATTAAAAATATTTTCTATGGTAAAACGCCGCATGGGGAGTCTAGATATCTTCTTTTTTTTTTGTGCTTAATAGTAGTTAGCTGGCTATAACGTTGTCGTGCGGTTCGTTTTATTAGAGTGTTTTGGTAGATTGTTCACTCACTCCCGCTGTGCTATCCACTAGCCGCTATGACCTCCGCTATATGTAGCGTAGCGGAACTACCATTTTAAGTTTTAGTAGAACGTTCGCAACCCGCTACGGATTACAACGTTACGAGAGCTAACGCAACGCCACTAGCGGCTCTTTCGGACACTAGGGCTCGCGTAAAACAGATTTGTAAAGCAATCCTTCGCAATTGTTTTTATTAACGTCGTTATCTTAATAAAATATTGTTTTTTTTATTGAATAACGTGCTAATCGTTGCTTCTTTTGTAAGTAGGTGACTATTATGTTTGTAATTGAATACAACTGTCAGCCAAGCTGTCCAAGCCAATCCGATATGAGTCAAGTGCCAAAGCCACCGAGAAAAATCTTCAAAAATAAAAGACAACCACTGTAGCTCATCTGTTGCGTCGTTGTTCACCCAAAATGAAGCGCCACAGAAATCCCTCATATCCGCCTGCTCGCTCCGCTTCCTTAGTCGGTTTTGTCTTCACGACAAAGCGGCCGAGCAGGGGGCTGCACCTTTCGCTCACAGCACCAAAAACTGCGAAGCTTTTTCTTTTTTCTCTCCTTTCCGTGGCCGCGTTTAGTATATCCGCCATGAATCGCTACCTGTTGCAGTCGTGGAACGGCTTTGTCGCGGGTACTTCTCGCAGCAGCAAGGTATAATCCACCCCTTAGAACGACGATTGCGAAAAGTACAGACCGAGTAGACGCGGCGTGGCGGCCATCTTGAACAGCGTCCCTCGCTGGGTCTCCCTTATCTCGCCAAGACTCGTTCTCGCGAGAGCCACGCTAGCACGCCGCGCTACGCCCCTCGCTATTTTGGCCCGCTAGCGCGCCTCCGCTAGCCTCCGCAGCTCCGCAATGTTTCCGCTAGCAGCGCGCATGCGCAGTAGCGTCGTCGCTCTAGCGTATAGCGTAGCGGGAGAGCCAAAACGATCTACTAAAACTCTCTATTACCATTTATGTCAAAGCAGTCTTGCCTTGCCGACTTTATGAACTAGCTCACGGTCTGCGATTTGTGTGATAATGGCAGTGTCTGTCTTTGTCCAGGGACCCTGAAGATTCAAGCGCAGAAGAAGTCTGAGATGCACCAGAAGCTGCAGAAGAGCGAAGCCGTGCAATCGGGCTTCGGGGCCAGGGCGAGAGACTTGCCCGCGTCTTTCAAAATACTCATCACCAACCCAACATTCGTGTTTCTGAGTTTAGCCGGAGCCACCGAAGGTGACTACTTCAATGTCTCTGCTCACAAGTGCCAAATAGACCAGATGTAGGGGTATTCAAGACGGCGCCCATATGGCGCGATGGCATGCGAAATACACGAAGTTGGCAATTTTTATTGCGCCTTAGAATACCCCAACACATCCTCGGAGCACGTGCCCAAACGATGGCAGATAGTTGGAACCGCATGCAGCCACTAGATGGCTCGCCCTTCTGTTTCCATCTGCCCCATTACCAATCGGAGATTAGGACATTGCAAAAGTGAACCTGTGTTCGTTGAAATACGTGCTACAGGTGTATCTATTTGGCTTGCTTCTTTCAACAGGCATGCTGGTGTCCGGCCTGGCGACATTCCTTCCCAAAGTCATCGAGTTCCAGTTCAGCATAGCGGCCAGTCTGGCTGCTCTCATCATGGGTGCGTCACATTTTTTTTTTCTTTTCGGCGATAGACTTTATTGGCGAGATTTCGCGGCGAGTCTTGGGGTGTGCGTGTGTGTGTATAGGTTCCGCTAAAGTTATTGAAAATAGACCGATCTCACCAGTCAGTTTAGCTACGCCACCGCTGCCACAATGCATCGAGGGAACTTTAGTCTTTCTGCTTGTGCCACAACCTCGCTGGAGGCCTGCGCGTGCATGGCACGACAGGAGGTGTTTCGGGCACTGCCGCCTGCCTCCTGTGAACTAAAGTTATGATGGCTTCACGCATGCGCCGAACGCTTAGTGAGATCGGTCTATTTAGTCTCACGTGACGCCGTGTTGTCACGTGACGTTGCTGTGTTAGTGACGTTACTGTGTCACGTGATGCCACGGTGTCACGTGACAGCTTCGCGTGACACAACTGTGTCACGTCCCGGTCTCACGCGACGTCGCAGTGTCAACTTAAACACCCACTGTTAAACACGGCAGTGTAAAGCCGAGGTCACACTGCTTATGCATCATACAAAAAACAGTCTGCATACAGATTCGAACGCGAGTCACTCCGAGATCCGTGCATCAAATGCCGCATGGCAACAAGATTAAGGAGGAAACTTGCCACGCGGCATGCGAACCACGGATATTGCGGTGACTGATTTTTACGGACTGTAAAAATAATAATTGGGGTTGTGTGGATATTTACACAGCGTGTATAGTTAATCAGCCATTTCAAAGTGGCGACGAGTCACTCGCTGTAGATGAGCAATTTAGCCAGTGCAGTACAACCGCTAACCTGGGGTCTTTAACGTGCACCACGCAGTGATACACGACCGCACGCCGGTACGATGCTCATCCAGATCGAAACGGACAGGGCTGGGGATTGAGCCCAGGATCCCTCGGTTCTGTAGCACGAGCTTTCGCTCCACATGCTCCGAGCTGGTGTGCGCTAGCCCACTCGGCTACCGATCCCCCTTGCAGACTGTCTTTTATACTGCGTAAAGTCACTGGTTTCCTGGGAAAGTAGCGCCATTGCCTTCCCTACCTGCTAGCCGCACAGAAACGGAAACTAACATACAGACGACCCAAACCTCGCAAAGCGATTGGCTAATCGGCCTACGTTCCCATGGAAATCGCCATCTTGGACCATTTAAATCTTCGAAGCTTCCAGGGGGCCGTTCTAAACCAGTCGCGCCAAGATCACCATGGAGCATCATCGTACTGGAAGCGTTCCTCGCCAATATAAGAGTCTTTGGCACTTCGTATGCGATCAAGTTATGAATCCTGCCCATCTCCATGGATCTCTTACAATTATATTGTTCTTCCTGCGCATTTCAAGACAGTGAACTTATTTTTCAGTGCCTCCAAGCACCGACATAGCATCTGGTGGTGGTACGAACGTGTACGCTTGTTTCGCCGGTGTGTGGCTAGCGAAATCTCGGTATACAAAAAAAAAAAAAAACGACTGAATAAAGCTGCCCCGTCACCAGCGAATCTAGATCGGCTCACCAAGAACGGAGGGGTCAAGGAAAAATTGCTCATTCCACGGACCAAGATGGCGACCACGCGAGGAGCTTGGCGTTACTTTCCCAGGATCCAGTTACTTTAGTACTGCGCAGAGTTCCTATTAGCGACGTGTGCGACCAAAAGCGTCGCTGCAGTCAGCTTTCCACAATCGGCCAAACCACAGGCATAAGAGCATTGTCATACTGTCAGCTTCGACGGTGTTATTTTTGGAATGAGATGGCTCCCAGCTTCCACTGTGCTTTTTGAACACACCATCGAACTTGTCGTCGCAACTATCGGTAAAGGGGCATTGCACGCGCGCATCGCGAGATGAAACTGCGAGGCTTTTGCACATTGCAAAGCCGGACGTTTTCGTCGTGGGATGCGCGTGCCGGGGAGAAATCTCCGGGATTTCTCCCTTGAGTGAATACCCCTTAAAGGGCCCATGAAACGAATTTTGGGTTGGAATGAATGAGTTTAAATTGAGACTTTACTAATCGCATATCGTTTTGTTGGCCAAAAGAAAGAGGCTAGAAAGTCAAAAGCCAGCTTTTCGGTACGAACATTTGAAAATATAGCGGACTATTTTGTACCTTCTTGCCTTCGAAAGCTCTCCGCCTTTTCACTATGATACATCCGCGGTTCCAAAAGCGCGTCACCGGCGCCAAACTGATGTCAGCAGAGCCCAGCTCACGCATTGGACACGAGAACTGCGTCACTCGGACGTATGCGCTCGTCAACAATCAATTCGTTGACGAATATTTGGATTCGCGTTCGTGGCCAATGAGTGCCCTGACGGAACTTATCGTCACTGGGGAATGACAAGTTCTATGGTGTGCATAAAAAGCACGGTGGAAGCTAGGAGTCATCGCACCGGTGCCGAAGGAATGTCACGACCACGTGATTTCACAATTCGCATTTGAGTTGAGGATTAAAGCTAAGGAGGAAGAAGTAGGAAAATCGTTTCATGACCCCTTTAAGTAGCAAGGGTAGCAACTTGTGACGTCACGTTGAGGCAAGTTTTAGTCGTGACGTCACGGATGAAAACCAAAAGGGGGCACCACCGAAATATCTCGGCGCTAATAGGCTCCCTACGGGAGCCAGAGTTGCGCGTCTGTTTTCCACGTGCCGCCGCGCCGCTATTCGCCGAGATCCGATCACGTGAGGAGCCGGATCAAGTGCCGTGCCGGAAAGTAGACGTCGCACGCGCCCCGGCGTACGTTTCCCTGCTTCTGAGAGCGCCGCGCGCCTCGAACGCGCGGCGCCGCGATTCGCCGAATTCAGTCACGTGACGAGCGGGATCAACGTGCCGTGCAGGAAAGACGGCGCTACAGAGATGAACGCGCAACTCTGGCGTATAAGCAGTGTGACCCCGGCTTAAAAACGGGGTCACACTGCTCATACATCATCTCGCCGAGGCGTCGTAACGTCATCTGTAGAGATATAACGTAACGGTGGAAAAGTTGCCCATGTTTCTTTTGTTAACCCAATATTTGCTATGTCACCAAGAACTAAACTTTTGGCTGATGTACATCAATGATTTTATTTAAAAAAAGTTGACCTTGGGGAGCTCATTGGGGGCGGTCGCCTCCCCAGGACCCCCCCCCCCCCCTCTTCCCCCTAAATCCGCCCCTGCCTCATAGTCAACCCTTTATTTTTTGTTTGTTTTCGTTTTGTTGATATAAAGTTTCGACGTTAGGCAAGCTTGCAAGTCGTAAACACTCTTTGCAATGGACGTCAGAAAGAACGTTCATGTCAAATCAGCGATTAACCGTTTACTGCACCGCCTCCGTGGCGTTAAGGTATCATGCCGACTTCTACAGCGCAAAGGTGGGGCTTGATATACTGGTGTTTTTATTCATTGTCGTAGGGCATCGTCTGGTCATCGATCCACAGCCTTAGCTACTTTGCATAAAAAAAACAGTTATTTTCTATAATATCTTAACCTTTTTTTGTAATGTTGATTCCGTATGATTTAGCTTCTTCAGTAGCTAGCAACATCGTACGCATGATTCCAAATCGCCCGTTCATGTCTGGTTTAGAACCATCTGTAACGTCAACCAGCTCGCCTGTTTACTAACTTTGTCTTCCAGCAGCATCGTATTTTCTTTTCCAATTTTTCACGAGGAAGATCTTGCGTCACCGGTGATGCGTTTGTAAACGTCTCGAATGGCACTCACTTACCGCTTATTCACACTGGAGGCGGATCCGCGTTGGCAAAGCGGTTGCGAACGCGGTTGTATAAGGATTCAGTACAATTGCACGCGCACTTGATGTCATCGAGTGCGCGTGCAATTGCACTGGATCTTTATACAACCGCGTTCGCAACCGCTTTGCGAACGCGGATCCGCTTCCAGTGTGAATGAGCGGTTACAATCTTTCTATCTGACTCCTCTACCGTGAAGGTGCGGTGACTGTGCCGGGCGCCGGAGGCGGTACTTTCCTCGGAGGCTACCTGGTCAAGAAGTTCAATCTGCGTTGCGCCGGCATCATCAAGATGTGCATCATCTGCTCGCTAATCCCACTCGTCACCATCTTCACCTTCGCCTTCAGTTGTCCCAACGTCAAGTTCGCCGGAGTGAACCACAAGCTCAGCAAGTAAGAACGTTACCTCACTCCACCAGTTGGTGGAGCTATACTCCTGCGGACACCGTCTATTAGCGTCGAGATGTTTCGGTGGCGCCCTCTTACGGTTTCAGCTAGAGTTCCTGTATATGCTACCTACGGTAGCAGAGTTGCGCATTCAGCCTCGGCGCGTGGCCGTAGCGCCGGCTTTCCCGCACGAGCTGGATGCTTTGCTCCTCACGTGACTAAATTTGGCGAATAGCGGCGCCGCGCGCGCCGCCGCGCATGGAAAACAGGAGAGGAGGAAAAGGAGGCGGAAAGCAGGGAAACATACGCCGGGGCAAGAGAAACGTCGGCGGAGCGACCGTAAAGGTGGCTTTCTTGCACGCCACCGGATGCTTTGCTCCTCACGTGATGGATCTCGGCGAATAGCGGCGTGGCGGCGCGGGGAAAACAAATGCACAACTCTGGCTCCTGTAGGAAGCCTATACAGGAACTCTAGTTTCAGCTCGTGACGTCTCGACCGGGATGGGCCTCGCCGTGATTCGCAGGATTTGCTTTGCAAATGATTAGGACTCTCCACACCCTGCGCTTTTTGAAGCTGTTGCTGACCATGCCCCGAGAAAGTGAGGGAGAGGAGGAGTCAACAGCGCGCGGCGACGTCAGAACGCCGAGCTCTGATTGGACAGATTAGAGGGTAGACTCAAAGTTAGCTGCCCTGTCTCCACTGCACTTGTCGAACGCATTTGAGCGCGCAACGCCGGCGTCCGGCGTTTGGCTTTCGCGTTTGAACGCGTTCGACGAGTGCACTAGACGAAGCACTTTTGGTACAGCAGAAAGCAAACGTATACGTAAGCACGTGCAGCGCCATCTATAGATGTGCCCATGCAAACTGCTCCAAGCAATCCAGGACCGGTATATGCGGTGAAGTCAATCCGATGCTGCGAATAGCGTCGCTACCGAAATATCGTGAATTTCTTTCGGGGTGCCAGCTGTAAACGTGCTCTGTATTAATATTGTTTTTTACTACACGGCTAACGGTTTCATGTGTGGTTCGGCTCTTTTTTTTTTTCAATTTGGAGAAGAGAGGAACGATTTGGAGACGAGAGGAACGAGAAGGGCACGCAGAGGGCCACCATGTACGAACGTTAACATCGATAGCTAGCGCACGCGTGCAAAGTGCGCTGCGTTATGTACGTATGGCGCATGTGCAGTGTGTAGCACGCAACGCTAACGCAAACGTACAGTGCTTTTGTTTCCTTCTATATCCATACGATATGCTCGTTAATAAGGAGTTTTAGTAGATCGTTTTCAAAAGGCCCGCTACCGCTACGAGCGCGCGCTCCAGAGCATGCATCGATGTGGCAGCGCGAGCTCTCGCTACGGTTAGCGTGGCCTGAAAACACGATTTGCTAAAACTCTCTAATGTCAATACGTCAGCTTCGGCGAGTTTGTTGTTCATGCTTAACACTTCACAGCGCGCAAGAACAGACAAACTTCAAAGTTCACTCACACAAAGAAATAACATGCACTCACACTGCGTTCACTCTCAACTCTGGTTCAATATCCCCACCCCCGCCCGTTTCGATCTGGATGAGCATCGTACCGGCGTGCGGTCCTGTATCACTACTGCGTGATGCACGTTAAAGACCCCAGGCTAGCGACTGTACTACACTTGATAAATTTCTCATCTACAGCTGGGAGCCTCGTCCCGTAAAGGCAGACCAAGTCCTAAACTGGAGCAACATACACACAACCCAGTTTTTTTTTATCAACTCTGGTTTTTGTTGTGCTTCCTCTTCATCTTAGTTTACTCTTATATATATGAACTAATTCAGGCTACAGCCCCGTAACTATGTAACTTTTCCTAAATGGTCTCTATCTTTTTTTTAATAAGCTATCTAACGTGACAATGTTCGTGGTTTCTATTATTTCTTGCGTCAGTTTGTTGTTGCTTCTCTGCCCAATACGGTGCAGTTGGCCAGTAGTGCAGAACACCCGCAATCTCGGCAATGGATTCCTATATGACCTCAGTCCAATAACGACGCCATCAAGCCTGACTCAGGTCATTTAGAAAAAGTTACCAAGTTATGTCAGCCGTCGCTTGAATTACTTCTTAATATATGAGAGTAAAAGAAGATGAAGAATCACAATACAAACCAGAGTTGAGAGTCAGCGCAGCGTGTAATCTTTCTTTGTGTGCCTGAACTTTTGAAGTGTGTTCTTGTGCGCTGTGAAGTGTAAGCTCGTTAATGTGGCGTGACGCTAATCTCCAACAGTGACACGCCTCTAGTCTTCAACGCAGTATTCAGCTTTGCAGATGAAGTCGTTCCGTGCTCTACGCGTTGTTTTGCTGGCCCCTCACATATGGAAATTGACATCAAAATTGACTTATAAGTTGTTTCGTTTGGACATTTTCCTCGTTACAGTACCTCGTCCTCATCCGTGAGCAACATGGTTGATCGCTTCGTTGCGGATTGCAGCAGTCAGTGTCATTGCCGCATGGACGATTATGACCCCATCTGTGGAACAGACAACATTATGTATTATTCGCCATGTTTCGCCGGCTGTCAGAAAGTTCATCACCACGGTCCCACAAAAGTGAGTATCAGTTCAGAATTTTAGTTTACAGACCTTTCGTATCCGTGGAATGAGCACCACTAAAGTATACGGGCCAATGCTGCGAATAAATAGACAGGGCCGTCCGTATAAGACTCCAAGTATATTTGTTTTGTTCGTTTTCGCTTTGTTATTACAATATACGACTTACTGCAAGCTCTGCATCATTGTAATTCCTTTTTTTCTTTTCTTTTTTGCACGTTCAGACGTTGCTTTTTTACCCTCAACACTGGTTGCGTACCAGTAATTAACTCGTGAAAACTATGTAGGTCAGCATTTCGCGTTACGTGTGGACGACTCATGTGCTCTTATCACCACACTACGCGTTGCAAAGAATTATGTTGCTAGGAATAAAATGCTTTTATAAATATTTTCGACACTGTTTGATTACCTAGAGTAATTAATCGGGAAATTTTATCACTTTAAGGTGGAACCAAATGTCCAGTAATTAGTTTTCGGGCGTTTCTGATCTTATCAAGGATGACCAACTGAATCATCTTCTGCCGGGAAGAAAACCTGCTTCCCAGTTTTTCCTTCTCCTCTCCCCACAGGAGCGGGCTTGTGAGCAACTTTCCGTAGAAAAGAGGAGCGACCCCTTCTTTCTTGAATAGAAAGGAGGAATTTGGGGAGTTCCCTCCTTCCTTGCTGTTGGTCGGTCTTGAAGAAAGAAAAATATGGATTATACCTCGTAAATGGACAAGACAAACACTTTCTGAAATTGGGAGTTTTCAAAAATTATTTTACGTGTATACGTGCGGGATTGCTGGCACGCAGATGGCGTCCCGTGATAGGTGACAAGTGGTGGTGAAACAAAATTGAGTTGGCGAATATTTGAAAATATAGGGTTGACTTTGACATAAAATTTTCACATTTTGAGCAGAGAACCTCACGAATAAAACTTCTGGGGAGTTATTTAAAGGGGTCGAGAAAAGGTATCGGGTTGGAATATTCATGACTTTGCAGAGGCAGATAAGTCCTGGTCTGGTTCAAGTATACTGGCACACTTCAAACCGCCACTGATTCAGAAGCTTCTATGTCGCGATGAAATTCTGAAAATAAAAGGGAAATGTTTCTTTCAATCTCGCCTTCGCAAAGCTAGGTGACGTAATTGTGAGATCGAAACCACCTGCCTGACGACAGTCGCCTGACGACACTGCAGTGGTTCTTTTCAATAAATGCTTTGAACTAAGATCTCAAAGCAACCGCCCTTCTCATTTTTTTTTTCTCTCGCAGGTGTACGAAAATTGCACGTGCATCGACCATCCCGGCCGGGACATCACGATCAACGACACATTGGTGACGGTTCAAGCGGAGCGCGACAAGTGCCCCAGCGAATGCAACTTTTTAGTCGTGTTCCTCGTCGCCATGTTTGTCTGTATGCTGTTCACCTTTCTCGTCAGCATGCCTTCGCTGGCGGCTACGCTCAGGTACGTTATCCCCTGTCTACGTGACCGCCAATTTGTTAGTCACCAATAAGAATGCCGAAAAAATTCATCACGAAACAAGCAGCGTAAGTTTCGTAAGCCACGCCGTGCTTTTCATAAGTTATCATAAGTTTCACATCGCACCTCGCTCGTTGCGGACGACAGCATCATTAGTGAGTTTTAGTATTGCGTATACGAGCAAACGCAAGCCCTGAGCGTTTGTGTTAGCGTTGCTTTCTCCACGATGCGCATGCGCGAAGTTGCCATGCGCCAATCCAAGGCTGCAGTTTGGGCTCGGTGCACGCGCAGTGTGGAACACGCAACTCTAACGCAAATGCACAGGGCTTGCCTTCGCTCATACACGAAATACTAAAACTCTCCATTATTTCCATTCACGTCGTCGGCCTCGTTTCACTGGTGTTTTGTTTACAGTCCGTTTCGGTTCAGCAGACAAGATGCAAACATGCTTGAAACTGAACGAAAAAACTTGAAAATAAATTTCCTCAAAGTCACCTGTCAGTTTAAGAAACGCAGGATGTGGCTTATTGTGTTCGTGCTTCGTGATTGGTTCTTCGATGTTCTTATTACCCAATGGCGCAATATGATTGGCTGTGGAGAGTTAATAAGAACCCCGGAACTCGCCACGCCCAGTCGGCGACTATACGGAGCGTAAGATCGTCTGTCCCCCGCATGGTGGCGGGGGTGATCTCCAGGGGAGCCGAGGGATATAAAAGTGATCACTGAGCGGCGGGGCTGGATGGTTCATGGTTGCCATTCAGTGACCGTCGGACCCGCTGTGAGACGCACTCATGTCTTAGTAGCGGAGCCGGACAGTGAGTCGAGCACGTGGGTACTTTTAGTACCGGTTGGTTTTCCCGGGCCGTTCCACTGGCTGTACAACACAATAGTTGGTTTCATTTATATCCCTTTAATCCCAATTGGCTTTTTCCTGAAATTTTCACTTGATCACATGATCCTATTCATTTTTATGGGAATTGGGTTAAGCCTGCGGTGCGAAAGCGGGAGCGGGCAGGGGACAAGTTTTTCTTCAATTTTCTACAAGAGCCCCGACTTCAAATCTGTCCCTTGCGCAGGGGTTTGCAGTGACGTCAGAACGCTGACGAGCTCTGATTGGCTCTGATTGTAAGGATAGTGAGGAGACCTCGATGCTAGCTGCCTTGACGTCTATCCACTATCCTTCTAATCGGACCCCATCAGAGAGTTCGGCGCTCTGACGACACCGTAACCCCTGCGAATGAAGCAGACGAACTTGCGCCCTGTGCCTAAAAGTAGGTTCTCACACTTTCGTGAGTCCGATCGAGTGCGACTGCAACGGCTTTGGAAGTTACTCCTTTTGCGGGTTGCTATGGCAACGGCCGCGCCGGCTCCAACAAAACCGGTTTTTACATCGTTTTGTTAGAGCCGACTACTGATCTCTGTCTCTTTGCTGGATCGCGTTTGCCAGCTCCGTGAATGCTGCCATTGGCGGCCATCTTTTTGGTAGAGTTATATTACCTCTATCCACACCGTAGTAGTATGGTGGCGCAATCTACCGCCCGTTAGATAGGGTACAGCTGGTACAGCCACTATTATCTGTCCATGGCAGACAGCGTTGTGACAATTGTGGCACGCATGCCATACAAATAGCCGTCGGTGATATTTCGTGCTTGATTGAAATTGTTCGACGACTCGTGTTGTTGAAACCCGGCGTGAACGGTAGCCCGACGTTTCAGGACCCGGCGAAAGTTTCACGACATCTCAGAACCGCGGAAAAGCAGCACAGTTCGCATCGAAAGCGGATTTGGTCGATGGCGGGGCGCATACGACACCAGATGACACATAGCTGATTTCACACGACACTGACAACGCCCTGTCTGCGCTCTCTCGGTCGAGCGGAGGACGCTCTGGGCCTTTGACTTTGACCAGTATGATCAGGAAAAGACGTAGATTCACTTCGTTTAAATGCATTTTATTTAGAACGTAGCAGGTAAATATACAGTACAAAAAAATATAAATCGCTCTGGGGCACATTGGCTCACAAGTTTGTGGAGAGACCGCGGTAAATGTATACGCTCGCGAGAATTCCCCAAATTATCGCGAGAACATCCACGGCGTTCGTTGATCCGTATCCAAGCGTTCGGGAGCGCAAGACTTCACCACCAGCGAAATCACACCACCACTTGTCAACAATGTCGAACCGCGGAGGGGCCCATTCCCGGTACGGCGACTGCTTTCGATGCGAGCTGCGCTGCTTTCCCCCGGTGCTGCGCTTTCGCAGAACTTTCGCCGGGTCTTCAAAAATAAAGCTACCATTCACGCCGGGTTTTAAGAATCTGCTTCGTCGAAGAGCTTCAATCAAGCACGAAATATCACCCACGGTACAGTGTACAAGACCCATGGCTATTTTTATGGCAGCCTGCCACCACAGCGCTGTCCGCATTATTACCTATGATGGCTAGAGATAATATAACTGTGCCTAAAAGATGGCCGATGGTGGCCGCATTCCCGTCCATAGGCGCAGCTGATCAAACGCGATCAAGCAAATAGACATAGAGATCAGTGGAGCCGACGCAACTATTGCCATAGCAACCCGTACGTCGCAAGCCGTTGCAGTCGCACTCGGTCGGACTCGCACTAGTGTGTGAACCAGCTTTTAGAATGGTAGCCGACGTTTCGTAAAGGGGTCTAAAGAGATATTAAACTTAAAAAAATCTGTTTTTATTTTCTTCAAGTGCTTAAATATAGGACACGTATGTCAAAAATAAACATTCACCCCAAAATCCTTTTACGCATTCGGTAAGTCGCGAGGCATCTTTTGAGTTCGAAGAGATTCTGATATTTCGGCATGTCCAACCCCGCGAATGAGAATAGTATTATGTAAGCTGCGTCTAAAAACACTAAACTAGCAAAGAATATTTTGTTTCCTAAGTGCCTGGATTGCGCACGTATGGCACAAAATAAACTTTTTTCCGAAAAAAAAGTTTTTATGGCAATATTTCCGTCATAAAACTGAGTTTGAGAGACGAACAATTTCTTAAACGTGCTTTTTTTCCTGCACATCGTGCCGAAATAGAGCACCGTATAGAAGCATATATGCCGCTATGCCCAAAAATGAGTCTTGTAACCTAAATATTGCGCAAAAAAATTGCTTTTCGGAAAGAAATACTTTTGTAACATACATACTTAAAAAAAATATGGGGGACCGGGGAGGGGGGGGGGGGGGGGGGGCAGGAGTTCAATGTGTTTTTAAACGTCCTCGGCTTCCCTCATCTGGTTGACTCGTGCCTCTTTCGCTACACTAACTCATCGTCGATCGATGACCTAGCATTCCCGACATGCAGGGTCCCTACACATAGTGGTTTGGTCGCAAATAAACAAATCTAGCCAGATAATAAAGCTTGTTTCTCTTCCATTTTGGTTTGCAGATGTGTTGCTGTTAGCCAAAAGTCGTTCGGCCTTGGTATTCAATGGATCACAGTTCGTCTGCTAGGTATGTACTATGGTATCTCTGCCGTTGTCGCTTTCAAGCAGTATTGTAGACGTTACCGAAAAAAAGTAACGCAATACGTTACTCGTTACTTGAAAACGAAAGGAGAGCCTTACCGACCTACGTTACCTCAAAATAAAAGTAACGCACGTTACGTTTGCTTTACTTTTTTTTTTAAATTATGAATTAACACGTTTTACCTCTTTGACGGTGCAGGTATGATTAATCGCCATATTTCAAGAAACATGTTCATGCAGAAACTGAACATAATTACACTATCTTTTTTTATTTGTATTTCAACTAAATAGCCACAACAAAAAAAGCAAAATAACAAAAAAAAAAACCTAAAAAATCCACATAACTTGGCGCTTAAAAGCACGAAAAAAATGTGTAATTTTTTGAAGCCTTCGGAAGAAGAAGAAACGAGTAACGTAACTACGTTACCGGTTACTTGAAATAAGTAACGTAAGTGTGTTACCCGTTACTGTTTTCAAGAAGTAACGACTACGTTATTACGATGCCGGAAAAAGTAACGCGTCACTGCCAACTATTACTTTCAAGTATGGTTTGGTCGTTGGGTCAATTGCAGTAAAAAACCACTCGCAGTGATACAGGCTCTATCTGGCTAGGGGAAACAATAGGTTGCAAGTAACGTGATTCCATACTTTCTAGTTGACGATATCTTTCCCGCAGTTTATGGATGAATGGAAGGTTTGAAGGTTCTTTATGCTTTTCCTTGTACTCGCTCCCTCGGTAAAGTTACAGGCCAGAATAAAAAGCAGGGCAACGAACCGGTTCTTTTTCCGGTTCCGTTTTGGGTTGACTAGCCTTGTATTTTACTCTCGTTCGGTTCTGGTGCATGGAAGCTCAAGAAATATCGGTTCGGCTACCAGTTGTACCGAGCTATGACCGGTTTGAATTTCTATAAACACAATTTTGTCTTCGTGCAGGCACGATACCGGCACCGATTCTCTTCGGCTACCTCATCGACCGAAGCTGCGTCTTGTGGCCCGGCACCGGGGCCGAGCAGGGAGCCTGCGCCGTCTACGAAAACAAACAGATGGCCCACAACTTGCTCGCCCTGCTCGCCACGGTCAAGTTCCTCTCCTGCCTCTTTTTCTTCCTCTCCTGGGTGTTGTACAAGGCACCGGCCGGAGGCGAAGAAGACGACAACCTGTCGCCATCAGCGCCGGAAGCCAATGGCACGGTGGCTACCCTCAAACCCGAGCCCATAACGCAAGTGGACACGACACAACCCAAACCGATCTGTGCTAACGGAACAGCAAACGATGGGAGCAGCACGTGGTTTTAGACAAGACTGCAAGAGTGACAATGGTGTTGTGTGCATTACTTTGTAGGAACGTTACAACCGCTGGCCCGCGGTATGGCAATGTGACTGTTGCTCTAGGACATCATCGAAGCGTATAAACTCTCTACGCCGGCCGGTGAATCTTCCAGCAGGAGCTTCTGGTTGCGACACAAACGCTGGACAACTCGGCCATATCGACGCTGGTTCATACAGCCCCGTTTTCTTGAGTTACGTTACGTTATCTTATGTACAAGTCACCGGGACATATCTGCTTTATATTAAGCGTGGCTACCAGTTCAAGGAGAAAATCTGGCACGCGACATTCATGACACCAATGTTTCGGTGACGTGTACGTAAGATAAGAAAACGTAAGACAATGGTGCTGTGTGAACCAGCCAATTCACTCTTTCGACATATTCAGTAGTGGACTGGTTTGTGCTAGTGACATTTGGTGACTGCAGGTCTTGACATCTGAGGCAGCCTGAGTGGATGGAAGTTGGAAGACCGAGATGGGTGACGAGTGATGCACGTCTTTATGTGTATACCGGTGAGGTGCTTATGTTTTCGGTGAGGAACGTGGGGTGGTACATATGATGAACCGTGGGAAGGACGATACATGGTGTAAGGTTTTGTTTGTGAAATATTACGAACATCGGTGCATATTAGGAAGAGGCGTTTCGGTTGTAGATGGCGGTTCAAGTTGAATGTCATCGTGCAATGTGCAATGATAGCTAGGGTACACGCTTCATCGATATTTGTCTGGTGCATTTCGCTACCATAATCGTCTTCATATTTGTCAACGAATTCCGACTGGTGATGACTACGGACTTCACATGACTCCAATCCTGTTTGTCATGTGACTTTTTCAGCGATTGGCTGATCGCGCCACTTCGTAAACTACGGTACCACAAGTACATAAGCTCAATATTATAAGAACAATTATTTTTAAAAGACATACCACCTGTAATTTGTAGTTTGTAATTTGACAATTTCTAAACGGTTGAGGGTTGTCGAAACTTTTGTAACTTCACCTTATCCCCAGAACTTTTCGTTTTGATGTTACGTTACAAGAGGCGTCTTATATCGACTATACTAGTCACTATTTATGCTAAGCTTCGAACTTTCAAGTAATATTGCAACAATCCTTTTTTTAGAAAAACATTCACTGCGCTCGAATACAATCTAGAATATTTAAAACGAAGCTTTTGTTGCATTTGCATTCAGTCCCATTAAGATTTGACGGCAAAGAACTTTCTTGTGGCCTGGCTTCACTAGAGGAGCAGACCTCGCTTTTTTCTGTTATAAAACAACTGTTAGCGGAAAAAAACAAGCGCCGAAAGACCAGGACAAAGTAAGAAGACGACAACACAAGGCGCACTCGCAACTGAAGATTTATTTATGGAAAAACAGTCTTATATACACTTTTAAAAAACACCCACGTCACTTTCCACGTGCCCACTCTTTATCCAAGAATAGACACTCTTTTTCTGACAGAGTCACTGAAGGCTCGCTTATGCACTTATCTGCACCCTTTTTTTTTTTTTTAAAAGTGTATATAAGACTGTTTTTCCATAAATAAATCTTCAGTTGCGAGTGCGCCTTGTGTTGTCGTCTTCTTACTTTGTCCTGGTCTTTCGGCGCTTGTTTTTTTCCATTATGAACCAACTGGCCCAACTCACCATTTTGTTGCAACTGTTAGCGACCCAAGAAACCTTCTACTCGGGCTTTACGAAAGTACAGATATGTACAGTGCTTACCAGACTTATACGGAATATTCGAACTATTCCGTATCTGGTAGGAGCACTATTATATCGCTATCCGGGCGGCAGCCGTAAAGCCCCTTTATACGGAAAAGTAACGACATCCTTCGAATAATGGCACCAGCTATCTTGGATTGAATGAGAGGCCTCCATTGCTCGGATTGTTTCATCGAGCGCTGTGTATTGAAGCAGTTTTTCGGCTTCCCCCGGTCGTATGAAATAAGACAGAATTCACAAGTTTCGTGTAAGCTTATGAGCACTCTGCTATTGCGTTCAATATCAGCTGTAACAGGCCTTCGTGCTTCTTTTACGTCCCTGCCAGCTTTTCTTCTTTTTTTTTTTTTTTTTTTTTTTTTTTTAGAACGCAGTGGTTCCACCTTGGAATAGAATACGAATGCGAGGTCCCATACTTGGGACTCTGACAAATTGAATGATACTAGAGCTTATGGAGATTGCAGAACACGGTGTAATATATATATACTGGGTGTTTTTTTTTTTTTAAAGCTTAACAGATTTGTTTTATAAAAGCCGTGAAAGTTACACTTATGCCGCTTGTGGAGGTGAGTTATACGGCCAGGCGGACATATTACAGGGGGCTAATCGTAACGATCAGTCGAATAATTAACTAAAATTTGTTAATTAACTTTTTAATTAATGAAAATAGACATATGGTTCCAACTAGAAACTTGCTCAGCGTCATCGAAAACCACTAAATCAGTCAGTTTCAGAAAGACTTTCGGCGCGTGGGAAGCGTAGTAGTGCACTAAAGTTACCACTCGTGGAGCAAGTACAAAGCTAGCGGTTGCGATAAGGCGCCCGCGCGAATTTTCCGTCTATTATTTAGCCCAGCCTTGTACCTGCTCCACGAGTGGTAACATTAGTACACTGCTACGCTTCTCACGCGCCGAAAGTCTTTCTGAAAGTGACTGATTTAGTGGTTTTCGATGACGCTGTGCAAGTTTCTAATTGGAACCATACGTCTATTTTCATTAGGTAAAAAGATAATTAACGAATTTTACTTAATTAGACGACTGATCGTTACTATTAGCCCCCTATAATATGTCCCCCTGGCCGTATAACTCACCTCCACAAGCGGCATAAGTGTAACTTTCCCGGCATTTTTAAAACAAATATGTTAATCTTAAAAAAAAAAAAAAAAAAAAAAAAAAAAAAACACTTGGTATATATCGGTGTGGACACGGCGCGCATAGCAGCTACCAGAAAAAGGTCCTCTCTTCGCCTTGGTTGCAAGCGGCGCCACCAGATGACCCTTCGGTGTACGTGGCTAATGGCAACCTGTCGCTAGCCCGGTTTCCGATGCTTATCTAGGAGACATGCTTGTTTTCGACATTGTTTGCTGGGTGCCCTGCGTCATCTAAACTTCGTACATGCTCTACGCGTGTTGCTTAGACACTGCTTCGTCACTGACCCTGTAATTTCGTTCCTAAACCGCGGCAAGCGGCAATAAGTATCCTGGACGTGTTGAAGCGTGGAGATCTCTGGCGCGCTGTTCAAGCCAGAGTCCTTGAAGATAAGAGCAGACGTTTTGAACGGAAAGAGCGCGCGCCGAGGTGCCATGGGCACTAGAGTTCCTGCATAAAGGAGTGTTCACTGGGCGCCATATTTGTGGGTGATGTCTTGAGCGCATGCTCTGAACGAGCCCACATTAATAGGCTGCTAACACCGGCAATCTTGAGGTGCGAGATGCACGTTGCAAAGCAACTGTGGAAGCTCGCCATCAGCACGCGCTCAGCAGTCGTGCACACAGCTATGGCCGCCAGTGAATACTTCCTATAGCCAGCCGGCAACGGCCAGGCGGCGCCAGCAGGGTGAAAGCGCACGATTATACCCTGTCTCGCTGTTACTTGGGAAAGGGTGAACGATAAGCCCCACATTGCGTGCCGAAGGCTTCGAAATGCGCGACGTATACGAGCGCGACGCACACATATTGGAACATGACGCAGCGAAAAGGACTGATACTTCTTCGGAGTTGAGGCGCTCTCCGGTGATACGCAGTAACGTTCCCATTGGCCCGCCAGGGCCGTAGCTTCCGTACTAAAATATTAGGGTGGGCTAGTTGGATATGCATTTTCGAAATAAATAGCGCGAAGGTCAAGAACAAACTGACGGTACAAATGGACGTAGCTTCCGCTCTACTGGCACGTTACGCGATCACGGCTTCCTGGGATACCCAGTATTTCTTGCTTCAGACACTAGGGTCAGCGGCGCCACCAGAGTAAAAGCTCACGTTTGAACAATGCAGCCGCAACTCCCAGGGGTACCCAATATTTCTTGCTTCAGTCGCTAGATGGCGCCAAACCAAACAGCATTACAGGTTGCCTATAGGCTCCCTACGGGAGTCAGAGGTGCGCGTGTGTTTTCCACGTGCCGCCGTGCCGCTATTCGCCGAGATCTGATCACGTGATGAGCCGGATCAAGTGCCGTGCAGGACAGCAGACGTTGCGCGCGCCCCGCCGAACGTTCCCCTGCTTTTGAGCGCACCGCGCGCCTCGAACGCGCGGCGTTGCTATTCGCCGAATTCAGTCTCTTGACGAGCTGGATCAACATGATATGCAGAAAAGACGGTGCTACGGGGATGAACACGCAACTTGGGAACTCTAACAGGAACTCTAATGGGCACAAGTCACTTTTTTTTACTTATTGGTGTGTATGTATGTTTATACGGCCTAAAACATAGTCTGCCTTAACGGGCGACTTGCTTCCAGCTGTAGATGAGCAATTTAGCTAGTGCAGTACAACCGCTTGCCTGGGGTCTTTAACGTGCATAAGCCGTAGTGATACACGACCGCACGCCGGTGCGATGCTCATCCAGATCGAAACAAGCAAAAAAAAGGACTGAGCTTTTTTTTTTTAATTGCATTGTTTGCACAGCCGGGACGCTGTCGACTGAAGCTGCTCGGGCGCACGCCAATGGGACTTCATCTGTTCGATCGCGTGCGGCGTTCCCCGTATTGTATGTCCTCACCTATATATCTTACACCGTGCTGCAGACGTAGAAAAAGGCCGGATCGGCTGTTTCTGGTCACACTGATTGTGATACCTTTGTGACCAAGTTGATGAACCTCAATCAGAAAAGAAAAGGTAGCTAACAAGGTGTGTTCGAAATATCCGAGATTTTTTTTGCCGCTTGTCGCTCTACTTGGACGATGCCTGGTGAATGCAGTCGTAATCGTACTTAACTGGAGCAAATGCTAAGCCTACTCTTTGCATATTTTAGTTTTTCTACATGCTCAAGTGCTGGGTTATTGGTATTTTGTTTTTGAATGTCTCGGCATATTTTCACAAATATTATCCGACCATTGTTACGCTCTAGTATTGGTGCCTTTATTAAAAGTTACTCCTAACCTCCAGTGATGTGTGATTAGGGCTGCATATGGTTTGTGCAACAACTTATTTCTTAGGATTTTCTACTTCACTCGCATCAAGGATACCCTATCGCAAAACCCAATATAACTTTTTGCCATCTGGATTATGAAACTTTAAATCTAACTTGAATTGTTCTGGAGACCTGGAATGCAGATTGCAGACAACAATAATTTCGGAAATCCTGCAATGCAGATAGAATCCAGTGCGTTTTCCAGTTCCATAAACCAGATAGCGAAAAGTTATATTGGGTGTGGGGTAGGGATAGTATTACTGCCTAAATGCGATGTTTGTAATATATAACATTCATATGTAAGCCGTCGAGTCGATGCTTTCGAGGTCGAATGTAGCAGGGGCAGTGAAACCTTTCTTATTTCGGTTTGCATAACACGAGGGCACAACGAAAACTACTACAGTCTCTGACAAAGTGAGAACGACAGGGAGGTTATTCAGCAGTCCCGCCCCCTAGCGCGAGCTTCGTACCTTTAATAATTCTTCGGCGTCGAGTGAGCCTCGAGTGTGCACGCGCAGCCAAACCACGGCGGAAGCATAGCCTCCTATATACTGAGAAAGCCTGGCAGATCGCCACGAGAAGCGGCCGCCGAAGTGGAAAAGGTGGAGCGGCAGACAACGGATGAGAGGAGAGCCACGTGACTGGCGCCCCGCTGCGGCGAGATGCCGAAACACACTTCTCCCGAGCAAACAAGTGCGTTTCGGGCCCTCGCCGTTGCAAAAGCTGTGCGTTGACGTCCAGGTTCCCCGAGAAATGGCTCTTTGATGCTCTGTGCTACCATATCCTCGCGCTCCAAATCTGCGACCGGACACTCTATGGCTCCGTCGTGCTGGAGCGCAACGAGTGCGTGCTTGAGGCCTGGAGCCCAAAATACACGCCCTGCAGTTTTCATCTTGTCGGTTAACTATATAGCGAAACTTGTTCTCTCGGTGACTGCCCGTGTGTTGACTGAGAATCGAAATCTGCGTATAATACCAGGGGTAGGGTGACTATTGGATACGTTATGTTTCAGTGACCTCACTCTTGTGGTTCCTATCTGTGGCGTCACGACCAGGGTTATCAACTGCCAGCGATATATTGGATGGTCTCTGCA